GTTAAGTTTCAACCAGCCAGAGTAGAGAGACATCGTTGGATGCCTGGGACATTCAGTAAAGACCCCAGGAAGGCCACCCCTTAGGATGAGGGCAACAATAGCCCTAGATAACGGTTAATCTGGATCTGCACTAACGAAACTTCAATCCAAGCCTCAGAAAGGATCCATCTGTCCACAAGTAAATTGACTGATAACCAGATTCCTTAAAGGAAGACACCAAAATCCAGACATTCAACAACAGGATGTTCACCATGTCCATCATCCAGTAAAAGATGACATAGGGCCCTAGCTGGTTTGGCTCACTGGATAGAGCGTCGATCTGGGGACTGAAGGGTCCCAGATTCGATTCCGGTCCGGTCAAGGGCATGTACCTTGGTTGCAGGCACATCCCCAGTAGGGGGTGTGCAGGAGGCAGCTGATCGATGCTTCTCTCTCATCGATGTTTCTAATTCTCTATCCCTCTCCCTTGCTCTCTATAAAAAATCAATAAAATATACTTTAAAAAAAAGATGACATAAGAAGGAGCAGGAAAGTGTGGCCTGTAATCAGGAGAAAATTAGTCAGTATAAAAAGCCAGAAACAACAGAAATTATGCAATTAGCAGATACGGACTTTAAAACATCCACGATAAATACCAAAACATGTTAAGGAAAATAGGAACATATACAAGAGAAAAGTGGGAGACATAAAAAAGAACCAACTGTAGATGTAATGATAACTTTCTACTTTAATTTAAAATTTTTAAATTAAAAAACAACTTCTAGAGTTGAAAAGAGTGATACCTTGTATGAAAAATTCAATGGGTGGACTTAACAGACCAGAATGCAGAAGAAAAGTCCACTGAACTTAAACTATCCAGGATGAAGTACAGAGAGGAAGAAAGTTGAAAAACAAACAGGATGTCATTGACTTGTGGAACAGTATCAAGCAGTCTAACAGAGAGGGGACAGACAAATTATTTTAGGAAATAATTATTTTTCCAATTTTTCTAATAAAATTTTAAAAATATGAAAATTATAAACCCACATGTATAAGAAGCTAACAATAAACAGGATAAACAGAAAACCATACCAAGTCAGATCACAATCAAGTTGCTAAAAACCAGTGATAAAGAGAAAATATTAGAAGCCGCTAGAGCCTGGCCAGTGTGTCTCAGTGGTTGAGCATCAACCTATGAACCAGAAGATCCCGGTTCAATTCCCGGTCAGAGCCCATGCCCTGTTCGTGGATGTGCAAGAGGCAGCCAATCAATGATTCTCTCTCATCGATATTTCTCTCCCTCCTTTTCCCTTCCTCTCTCTGAAATAAATAAAAACATTAAAAACAAACAAAAACAACAACACAAAACAGAAAAGGGGAACAAAGGTGAGATTTTTCAGCAACTGCTCATTGAAAACAATGTAAGCTGGAAGAAAATGGAGTGGTGTCTGAAAGTACTGGGAACACTTATTTTGTTCCTTGCAGGTTTACTAGCTTTATCACTGACAAGGTCTAGAGGCAGTGACAAGCCAGGGACAGTGAGTGCCCTGGAGCCCTGGTTGTGGTCTCTACGCCCTCTTCCCAGGAAAGGGCACCTGGAGTCCTGGGAAGAGCAGTGGAGTTCAAGTGGGGGCAGGACCTATTCAAGATGAGACCAGGCAAGGAAACCAGTAAGGTCTAATGGACATGACAGAAAAGCACAGGGGCCTCTTCACAGGCTCCCACTGGGCAAAGATAGGATAATTTTATCAACAAAAAGATTATTGCAGTGGATTGAAGCACATCCGATACATGCAAATCCATGCATTCATATGATATTAAAAAACAAAAGTCCTTGGTAACAATTGGAGTTTGCTAGGGTGCTAACTAGCTCATTATTCTGAATTGTGTTAAGTAATATATCAACCATTTGTTTTACCTTCCCTGAATGAACAGTATTTCAAGATAAACAAATAGAGGAAAGTTGTTCCATAAATACAGAAAAATCAATATATCACAACCCCTAATAAAATAATGAATCTAAGAGGAAGCAAAATGGCAGCATAGGTAAACACCTGAACTTGCTGCCACGCACAACCACATTAAAACTACAACTAAAAGACAAAACGGATATCCTCCAGAACCCCGGGAAGGCTGGCTGAGTGGAAATTCTAAAACTAAAAGGAAAGAGAAAAGCGCATTGAGTCTGGCAGGAGGTGCAGAGGTATGGAAGTGTGGAGGTACGGAGGCGCACTAACGGGCTGGCAGCTGGGTATGCTGGTGTCTTTTTCAATTGGGAGGGAGAAACAAGCTCCCGACTACTCTGAACTCCAGTTCCGGGTGGGAATCTGGGGACCCAGACTCATACGGAGAGAAACTGGACTGTCTGGCATCAGGCCAGAACATGAGGGTGGCTTTCTCGCAGAGGTGCTTGCAGCAGTCATTGTTCCTGCACGGGGCCGAGGGACACAGAGACCCGGGACCTCTTCGAGGCAGAGCAGACTGGCAGCCATTGAGGTTTGCTCTGCCCTGATGATTCCCTGAGACCCCGCCTCACCCAATTTACAACCCCACCCAAGCTGTGCGCAGAAGCTTTTGCACACGAATGGCTTGGCCTTCCTCCACCTAAAAACCTGTCAAACTATAGCTGGGTCAGAGAACCCAGATCTTCCAAAAGAAGGCCTAAGGCTGGTCAGCCGCCTGCATTACTTCACAGCTGCGCCTCATATGGGGACCTCCAAACCCCAAACAAAGAGGAGGAATCTGCAGATTTCTCTGTAGCTCCTGCTGGGTGGCCTCAGGCAGTGGCTGACTTTGCACCTCCTTGGAGAGTCAAGTGCCAGTCTACCCAGTGGTCAGATTGGGACCATCCAGATTAGAACTCCTCAGATCCATAAGAGACACACTCAGAGGGCAGACTTAGTGAGCACCAAAGCCCCACTGAAGCAAGTCCTGCCCCATAAGGATGTCTCCACCACAGAAGTTCTCCCATTGTAGACACAGCTTGTCCTCACAGCTAGTTGGCCTGGAGGTCAATTCCTCCCAGTGATACCAACAGCAATCAAGACTTAACCACAACAAGACTGTGCACACAGCCCAGAAAGGGGTGCACCAACAGTGACCACCCCAGGTAATTGGGGAGGCTGAGCCACTGGGCCCTATAGGACACCTAGCACACAAAGCCACTCTATCAACATAGGAAGCAGCCAAAATGTGGAGACAAAGAAACAGGTCACAAATGAAAGAAATGGAGGAAAGCAAACTACTGGATATAGAGTTCAAAACCACAGTTATAAGGTTACTCAAAAATCTTCTAGAAACCTCCAAGGAACTTAGTGAGACTTTCAAGGATCTTAGTGAGAATGCCAAAAAAATGGAAAAGGACCAGTCAGAAATTAAGTATACATTGACTGAAATAAAGAATAATATACAGGGATTCTACAGTAGACTAGAGAATCCTGAGAATCAAGTCAAAGATTTGCACTATG